CATTTAAACGTAAAAAAATCCCAGTTGAAACACTTTCCTTCACAAAAGTTGAAACTAAATGACAAACATGAGAAATCAAATAAATGACAAAAACAAGCTTTTTTATGCAGAAATATAAAACGTGTTATTTTTTTATCGTTTATCGTTAAAGACAATAGTTTTAAAGTAGATTTGTTGGTTTTCTGAGGGGACAGAGTTGCTCAGACTCAGTCTGATTTATAGTTTGTGTACATTTCCTGGCTCCAGACAGCAGCTGAGACCAGGATGACTATATTTTATTCTTTTAAGACGCACAGAGCTTGTCCCTTCATGGCATCGTTCATTGCTTCCTCTGCAGGCTCTTTTCACCGTTTATGAACTCCTGTTTCACAACTGACACACAGCAAAAAGAAAAACAAATGATGAGGAATAATACGAGCAAACGACATGTTGAAATCTGATTTCTCAATCAGCCTTATCCTGCTGATCAATGCTTCATGTTTGCAACGAATCAGCATCATTGCAACACTTTTAAACGGCCCGTTTAATGACATGAGGTTGTGCCACTCTTCCTTTTTTATTATCAAGCTGCACGTGACTCATCTCTTCATTGTGCAGCCAGCTGTCTCTGCTGCTCCCTCATTTCGCTGCAGAAAAATATGGCAACTTGTGCAGGAAATTCCTCCCGGAGGAGGCCGGAGGAGAGAGGCGTCAGGATGGTGTTGGATGGCAAACTSCTGTTTATCCTCCTCATGTGTAAATACATTTCCGGGGCCCTCGCAGAGAATATTTAGAATAATTACTGTATATATCTGTGTCAAGCTGCCTCGGCCATTAAGAGGTTTGTTGATGGAAAACGAAGCCTGCAGGAGTTTTATGGGTAAATAAAGCGAGCGAGGGGTTTATATAAAATAAATAAGTGATGTGCTGCTTCACAAAGTGTTCTTAACAAGAGGGCTGGACTTCTTCCAGCTCCACGCTGCCTTTAAAAGGTGCTGGAAAATTACAGATATCCTTTTGTTTTTTTTCATTTGAGGATATTTACACCGTGTTGTTATTAAARGCTTATATTTTACATCTCATCACAAGTTGCTGCTTATTTTTTGACTTGCTAACTTTTAATGTTTTCTTAAGTTCAAGCGTTGAGACATATTACTTTTTATTTCCCAGAACTTAAAAAATAGATTTAAAGATGCTGTGATCAAAATATGCACATTTCAGCTGTAAAAACAGGTCTTGTAAATCTTATTTTACACTTTTTACCCACAAATTTAATATACTTTACATGATTTTGTCTCTCTGCAAATGCTGATTTTTAAAGACTCTTATTTCAKTACATGTTACTCTTATTTTTACGCAGCCAAGATTTTTTTGTGCTCCTTTAACACATTCTCTTGTACAATAAATATGTTAAAACTTGGATTAACTTGAAACTTTCTGTTTAATATTTATAGACAAAAAGAGGAGATTCTTTTTTTGCAGCAGGAAATATTTATGTATTTTTTTGGACATTTTATTGCTTTGGTTTAGTGACCTATTTCAGTGTTAGAGCAGGAACTTTTTCTTTTCAAACCTGGATGTAAACTTTAAAATGCTGCTCATCTTAAAGAAAAACTTAAACTCTAAGTAGTTTTTTTTAAAAATCATATTAACATCATAATGAGTGACCCCCCGGACCACCCCTCCTGCTCTGTGTATGGGGTCCACTTTCCTCTTCTGCAGAAGGAGAACCGGCCCCAGGAGGTTCAGCAGTTTTTCAAGCTCAGCATCTTGGATTTCACTTTTTGTTTCTGTCCTACCTGCTGCCGCCTGCTTCTCTTCTGTAGCACAGATATCAGAAGTGAAACACTCAGTCAGGTCGGGTTGTGAAGAACCTGCAGCTAAACTTCAACCCTCTCTCTTAACTCACGCTGGATGAGAAGCTCTTTTCAGGGAAAGCAGTAAAAGCTCTGCTCTCTGTCAGCCTGATAAAATACTCATGTGTTAAATGTCTGAGTGGGTCGAGGTCTGAATTCTCCTCAAAAAGCCATAAATTACATTAGTATTTGCAAGCGTACAATAACAATAACAATCCAAATGCTTAACGTAGTACTGAGGGGTCTTGATTTGTGAACTGTCCTAAAAGATTTTATGAGCAGGACAGGAGAAAGTCCATCTGGCTTACACTTCATGTCAGCCTTTCCGCCTCCATTAAAAGCTGTCCCAGGACTCAGCAAGCCATAAAACTCACCAACCCTGCAGGTTTCACCATTATTTAACACTTTGGAGAGAGAGAGAAAAAAAGAAAAAATCTGAACAAATTACCTTTGTGAAAAAAGGAGGTTGTGTTCAGAGGAGTCTGAAGGATTAACGTGACTGAAAGCCTGAAGAGCTTCGAGGCCTTATCTGTGAAGATGCTTGATTGGCTGCTGCAGATTTCTGCTGTTCTGTCGTAATGAGTCAGAAAAGTTCAAAAAGAAAAAAGGTTTTTAAAAAACTGAAGTGAACGAAAGCAGAGAGAGTTTTATCTGAGAGTTTAATCTGAGAGTTTAATCTGAGAGTTTAATCTGAGAGTTTAATCTGAGAGTTTAATCTGAGAGTTTTATCTGAGAGTTTAATCTGAGAGTTTAATCTGAGAGTTTTATCTGAGAGTTTAATCTGAGAGTTTAATCTGAGAGTTTAACATGGTTTAATGGT